ACAACAATCTTTATCCAATCACAAGTTGATGAGCATTTGGGCTATTTCCAAGATTTAGCTATTACAAACTGTGCTGCTATAAACATGGGTGCGCATATACCAGTGTAGTATGATGTTTTTAATTCTTTCAGGAACATACCCAGAAGAGGAATACTTGGTACAACAGGACCTCTAGTCCTAGATTTTTGAGGAATCAACACATTGATTTCCACAGTGGTTGCTCCAGTCTACACTCCCACCAACAGTGGAGAAGGGGTCCCTTCTCCCCACAGCCCCACTGGCATTTGTTTTTGGTTGATTTCTTGATAGCAGCCATTCTTTCTGTAATGAGATAGAATCTCAGTGTCATCTTCATTTGCATCTCTCGAATGACCAGTAATGTTGAATATTTTTTCATATATGTATTTTCTGGTTCTACTTCTTCATCTGAGAAATGTCTGTTCATTTCAGATGCTCATTTTTGGATTGGATCTTTAAATTTGGGGGTCTGATATTTTTAAAGTTCTTTATATATTCTAAATAGCAGTCTGTTGAGGAGCAGTTGGTAAAAAATTCTTCCCACACGGTTGGCTGTCTCTTCACTCTTGGTGGTTTCTTTTGCTATGCAAAAGCTTTGTAATAAGATGAGATTCCAATTGTTGATTCTTTGTGCTAATTCCCATGCAACTGTGGTTCTGTTCATAAAGTCTTTTCCTACGTTAATATCTTCAAGAGATCTATCTAAGATTTATTTTTTGTTTTAATATTTAGATCTTTAATCCATTTCAATTTTAGTTTAGTGCATGGTGAAAGATCTGGGTCTAGTTTTAATCTTTGGCAAGTTCTAATCTGTTCCATTGATCTTCTGGTTTATTTCTTTGTCAGTACCATGCTGCTTTTTTCACAGTAGCTCTGTAGTATAGTTTCAAGTTTGGAATTGTGATATGCCCTGCCTTGTCTTTATTGCTTAAAATGGTTTTTACTACTCTAGGCTTCTTCTGGTTCCACGTAAATTTTTGGATTGTTTTTTTCTATTTCTGTGAAATATCCTGTTGGAATTTCAATCGGAACTGCATTGAATCTATATAGAAATTTTGGAAGTATAGCCATTTTCACTATATTGGTTCTTCCTACCCAAGAACAAGGCATGCCTTTCCATTTATTGATATACTCTTCAATTTTTTATCAGAGTGTTGTAGTTTTCAAGTAGAGATCTTTTACATCCTTCATTAGATTGATTCCTAGGTATTTCATTTTTTTGGATGCTATTGTGAAAGGAGTTGTTTCCCCAATTCCTCTTTCAGTGAGTCTGTTATTCGTGTACAGGAAGGCTACTGATTTTTCAGTGTTGACTTTGTATGCAGCCACTCTACTGAATTTGGTTACTAATTCTATAAGTCTTTTGGCAGAGTTTTTGGGTTCTTCTATATAGAGTATCATGTCATCTGCTAATAATGACAATATAAATTTTTCATTTTATATCTCTATTATTTTATTTCTTTCTCTTGTTTCCAAAACTATACTGAACAGGAGTGGTGATAGTGGACATCCTTGCCTTGTTCCTGATTTTAATGTGAAAGATTTCAGTTTTTGACCATTTAGTATGATGTTAGCAGTGGTTTTTCATAGATGGCTTTATCAGGTTGAGATAAAGACCATCTATTTCTATTTTCTCTAGGGTTTTTAATCAGGAATGCATGTTGGATTTTTCCAAATGCTTTTTCTGAATCTATTGAGATGATCATATGGATTTTGTTCTTGACTCTGTTAATATAGTTATTACATTTATTGATTTATGTATGTAGAACCATCCTTGCATCCCTGGGATGAATCCAAATTGCTTAGCTTCTATAATATTCTATGCCTATAATAATCTATGCCTAGGCATAGATTTTTTTTAAAGTCATGGTCCTATATGTCTCACTTATCTACATGTTAACTTTCTTCCCCTGTTTGGAAAGTTTTCTGCCATTACTTCTTTGAACAGGTTTTTTTTTTATGTCATTTGTGACACCTCCTGCTTTTTCATTCACTCTGATCAATCTTATGTTATCCTTCTTTGGATTATCTAGCAGCTGCTGGATTGATTTCTTATGGTCTCTTGCTACTTTTAAGAAATCTCTCTTTTCATGATCATTAATCACAATCCTGTTCTATATCTGATAGTCAGTCCTCACATTGACATATTCTGCTGCATACTTTCAAAGAAGGTTTTAATCTCCAGATTATCTGTTTGAATTTGTTTCAGGGATTCCATTTCTTTCCTATGCTGGACATTCATGGTTTCCATCATTTTTCTGAGCTTCTATATTTTTTTATCTGTATCTATTCTAGAGTCACTAAGCATGTTTCTCATTCTGGTCCCCATCTCTGTAGAATTCTTGTAAATAATTTCTGCTTTGATTTTTTTTCTAGAGCCTTGTTCATCTGTTTGGCTACTTCCCTTGTTACCTGTTCAGGGAGTTCATCCAGTTTACTTTAAGATTGTTCCATCTTATTGCCCTCTGGATTTGCTTTTGGTGAGCTGGTTGCCTGGGTTTGTGTCTAGTTTAGGTGTCTTCTCATCTTTTTTTGTTGTTGTTGATGACTTTGGTTTAATTCCTAGGTTGATACTTGTGTATTGCTTATTGCAAATATCTTTATTGCTAGTTTTTAGAACCCTTAGAGAATGTGTACTTCTCAGAGTTATCTTCCAGGTATAGCTGGTCTTTGGGGTATGAGTCTCTAATGACCTAAGGATTATTTTCATTAAGGAAGCATTTGCGTAGAAGCATTTTAAAAAATATACCTGGAGAAACTTTTTGAAATAAGCCAAGTTATTATAGAATTTTAGATGTTCAGTGAAAACCCAATAAACCTTTTCTTGCTATTTTCTTCAATTTAGAAAATATTCCCTTTTTTAAAAAAGAGATAAAATCCCTATTATTTTATACCAATATTAACTGCTGATCACATAAAATGTCCCTTTTTAAGCTAATCAAAGATGTAATGGCCCCATGATTAAAAGACTATAACTTTAGAGCTGGCAGATTTTCAATCAAGGAAACAATGGTAATTAAGAAACCATTTTTCAAAATTTTCCAAAGCTTAGACTATTTATTATATCATGTAACTATAGACATATAATCATTCAGAGGGGGATGAGTCAACAAGAGATACTGTATTGCAAGAAGAAAGAGTAAACCACAGCTTTCTATTTGAGCACTCCAGATAAGCCAGAGCCTCGCCTGATCACTGCCAATTAGAGTGGAATTAAAATGTATCATCTATAATTATGGGACAGAATTACTGTTCTGAGCTGTAATCTCCAATTACGAAGACATGGTTAATCAAGATAGAAAGCCTGAAATGACTTGCAGGAGGAAGGAGAAATAAGCAAGGAAGAAGAAGGGAAATTCCACTCATTATTTAGTTCCTGTTAAGTCAGTCATGTTGCAGGTCATATAAAGCAACATTGGCCAAAAATAATGGCCCATACTTTACTCAGCATGCCAAATGTTTAATTTTTATTAAAAAATCACTGCTATAAGAACAACTATCTTCAATTCCATAATATGTTTTATATGCCAGTTAATAAGGGGTTTCTTGTTGTGATCATTTGTATAGCTCTCATTTAATTATTTCATAAGCATGCTTAGCTCAAGAGTGAATTATTCTTCATGGGAGAAAAGAACTCAGTAGTTTAATAAAGTAAGGACAGTCTTAATTATTGGGTAGATAATCTTGACCTGAAAGTTTAGCTTTGGGTGCAAATTTCTTAGAGACATTTAAAACAAAAATAACATTTTGTTACAAAGATAATAATATTCCTTTGTTATGTACTGTTGTGCAATGGGGCAGGGGAAGAAGTCAGATTCCTGTTTCATATGTAAAGCTCAGAGAGAGTGGAGTCTTTTCAGAGGGATTGGAAACTGGATTCTTCTCTGAAAGCACTTGGAGTGGGAAGAAAGGGCAGAGGAATTACCAGGAGATGCCCTGGGCTGCAATTCTAGCCTTTCCTCTTGCAGTGGCTTCACCTAAAGGCAACACTTTGAAATTTTACACGTTTCCCAATGAGATAACAATAGAAAAGGGCTGGGCCAACTACAAAGTGCTATTTAATTTTAAAATGTCACCCAGTAGATATGTGGAAATCAAAAGTATATTCCAAATCTTCAGAGTAATCAAAGTTATTTAAATATACTCAGTGTATGGTTTGTTGTACATTTGAAATTGTGTGTGTGTGTGTGTGTGTGTGTGTGTGTTTGCATGTGTGTACTGGGGATTAAACCCAAGGCCTTAATACTGAGCTACATCTTCGGCCATTTTAATTTAGTTTATTTTGAGGCAGGGCCTTACTAAGTCTCTAAGTCACTAAAGCTGAGCTGGAATTTATGATCTGCCTGCCTCATTGAAGTCTTCTTAAAAGACACGTCTGACTGGAACCCAAGGCATAAAAAATACCTTCTGATTGGAACCTATAGCATCTCAAAGGGATAGCTGGATCAAAAAGCCACATAGGAGATGATGGATTTAGATTAAGAAAGGGTGTGGAGAGGACAGATTATTTTATGCCATTTTGCAGGAGGAATTCTTTTGAATGTAAACACTGGAACTAATATGACAACAAGTTCTCTCTCCTGGAGTTGGGAGGCAGGCCTTTGTGACAGAGTTAGCTGCTCCCTCTAGCAAAGGGATGAATCTTTTGAACCTTCACTGCCTCTTCCATTGGACTAAGGGATGAATGATGGGGAATCAGGTGCAAAGAGGGATCTTAGTGAGGGAGGGACAGGGAAGTAGGGGTCTTTATCACTGGGCTAATGGATCCTTGGAAGAAAATGGATGGAGAGAGGCCTACCCTAAAAAAAAGAGCCAGAGTGTAACAAAGAAGCAAATTAGAAATGGCACCTTACATGCTATTTGAGAACAGTAAGCTGTTTGGGGATATGGTAGCAAAAGATGCCCTAGGAGGAAGAAACTTGTAAGGAAAAGCAACTTGCTTTTCAACCAAACCTGGCATTTCCTTTTAGACCTCTGCCATCATGGGTCACATGTATGCTCCTGAGAAGAGCCTGTCCCACTGGGCTCTGCCATATTGCCAAAGTGTCCCCACCTGGCTTCTGCTGACATCTGACAACATGAAGGAGAAGATTCACAATCTAGCCAAGAAGGGTCTGACTTCCTCACAGATCAGTGTGATCCTGAGAGACTCTCATGGCATTTCACAAGTATATTTTGTAATGGGTAGTAAAATCTTGAGAATTCTTAAGTCTAAAGGACTTATTCCTGATCTCCCTGAAGACCTCTACCACTTAATTAAGAAAGCAGTTGCTGTTTGTAAGCATCTTGAGAGGAACAGAAAGGCTGAGGATGTTAAATTCCAACTCGCCCTGATTAAGAGCCGGATTTACTGATTGGCTTGACCAAGTGGGTCTTCCATCCCAATTGGAAATATGAGTCATCCACAGCCTCTGCCCTGGTGGCATAAATTTGTTTATGTCTTGAAGCAATAAAATCATGATTTAACTAAAAAAACAATCAACCAAACCTGGACTGTAATCCCACAGAGAAGCTGTGTGAAGTTCCTTAACATTTCAATATCTGGGTTTCTCATCTATAAAATGGGGATAATACTCTCCTGGCAGGTGTGAGGAGTCAATTCATGTAAATTAATGGAATGCTCCTGGGACAAGCTCTAACATACACTGATGTAGGTTTAAGCAGTACTGGTGGTTTATAAATTCAGATCAATTTTACCTAATTTTTCCTTCCAAAAGTATTCTCTTTTGTCAAGTCAATAAATATTGAAGTATTTTTATGTCTCTTTTCTTGAATTCATCCAGAAACATAATCATTAGAATTTTATTCCTATAAGGGGAAAGAACACAGGTTTTGAGATCACATAGTCAGATTTCTATTCAGCTTCAGATCTTTGTCTTATTGTGGAAATGGGTAAATTAGCTCATTTTATAACTTGTCTTCTCAACTGAAGGTCACATGAAGTTTAATTAAATGTGTCTTAGGACTATAAAATACTCAGAAGGCAGTTGGCACACAGTAGGCATTCAGAAAATATTATTTCCCTTTCCTTTTTATTGGGAGGACATTGTATGACAATATCACATTGACTGTCCTCTAAGGATCACTCCTGGCAATGAACATTGGGCCTGAGAATCAAAAGTGAAAAGTAGTTCTTCATTGCAGAGAGACTGCAGCTGCACTGATGGTCTTTTCTGGGTCATATTGTCCCCCACACGAGGAAAACATGCTATTTTCTTAATGAGATATCAGGAATGCAGTAGCACTGGAAACACATTCACAAATCTTCCTGGATCCATCAAAAATAGTTTAAAGCATAGACTTAGTGGCTGGATCTGCCCAATGGGTAAAGTAGGCTAAAGCTTTGCATCTCTGTCTTCATTTTATATGTTTCCTTTATTACCTTGTGACCATTAACTGTGATATGAGCACTTTACTATAGTAAGAATTACCTAGCAGATTAGAAAAGCACACTTCTGGATGTATCTGTGGGGTGTTTCAAGACATGATTGGTATGTAGGCAACTGAACTCAAAGGGAAGACCAACCCTGGTTGTGGGTAGCAAATGGAACATGAAAAGGAAAGAAGGAAGTGTGTCTGTTTCTGAAGAATTCCAGCCTGCTTGAGCAGATGTTTCTTTTGCTGCCATGCCTTTGGCAGTTTCCAATTTCTTCAAATTTCAAGTTTCTTCTGGCTTCAGGGGTAGTGTGCAGACTCACATCAGTAACCCTTCAGGAAGCTTCCAAGACTGACCTTGGACTAGTGCTGCATCCTTGATCCCTCTTGTTCTGGGGCTTCTATTTCTTGGATTGAGCAGCTATTGGATCCTCCAGCTCTCTAGCACACACACACACACACACACACACACACACAGCAATTGTAGACCCTCCCACTTCTAGATAAGAACTGAATCAAATTAAATGGTTAGTTTCGATGTTGCCCTTATGGGGAATTTGATTTGCTTCTTATCCAGTTTGGTATGTGACTAGAATCATGAGAGTGGAGTTTGTGAGTCAAGGCCATACTGTATATATGCATTTTTTTCTATTGACTGTGTTCCTCTAGACAACCCTAACCAATATATACCTTTTGGTCACTTTGCTGCTTAGCTCTTCATGTAGGCATACTTATCACTTATAGAATGTCTGTCTAAAAATTCGTAATACAAAGTTTATTAGCCCTGAATTTATCTAACCTATCTCATCTCCCTTGAAAACTGAGGCAAAATATTCAAGGACATCCAACTTACATTTTGTTTTTACAATGTGGTGTTATAGACTAACTGGAAAAGTGCCTAGAAGTCTCTGGCCATTGTTCTAACACCGCAGTCACCTCAGATTCAAGGAAAAACAGAACCTTACACACCACCCCATGATATGGTTATCCCTCTAAGCAGGAGCAATTTCCTCATGAGGATCTCTAGGAACTAGTCTTGAGATAAGTATAAACCAGATAACAGCTTGACCAGGATCATCTACCTTGTCAGCTATGCAACTGTCCCAGCTATGTACATCCCCAATACTTGCTTTTGTTCCCCTTTTCTATAAAACCCCAAAGCTTTTGATAATCTCTAGAAGACAGACTTTGAACTTCTTTATCTGTTCTTCCCAGCATGGCCATGCTGAGTAAAGCTCCTTTACTGCCCTTTACCAATGCCTGTCTCCTGGATTGGTATTTGGGAACTGGTGGCTCTTACGGCTTGTATTTTTACATCGCCCCAGAGTCTCATGTGGTCTTAGGTGGGGCTTTTACAAAGGTGGCTAGATCTATAGTGTCTAATTGATTCAAGGTGCAGTGTTAGGCCAGGGGACACTAGGATTAAGGGTGTGAGTGCTGCCAGTCCTAAGTAATCTGAATAAGATAAAAGGGGCAGAAAAATGCTGTTAAAGTCCCTCGCTGACCTTTGCTGTCTTCCACCACCATGAACTGTTGCCCTTCTGACATGTGCCACTCTGCCTTGGACCCAGGCAATTATGGACTGAAATCTCTACAAACCGTGAGATAAATAAACCCTTTCCCCTATAACTTTGGGTGTCAGGTACTTTGTCTCAGCTACAAGAGAAAATTAAGACAGTGGTCAAGCCTTGACTTTTGAACCCCAGGAACCAAGTCTTTGCCCTAAAACTTTGGTTAAGAGAAAAAACAAACAAACAAACAAAAAACCCCAAAATCTTTCCTCAGTGGAAAATTATGCATTGCTTCAAGCATACTGATTCATTTGATTCGGAATCCCTGGAACCTATTTTATAACTCTGTAAGTTGCGGATAACTGATAGCTAAGCAAAATAATTCTTGTTGATAGACGTGGAAAATTTTCCTTGGCATGGTCTATAAGATTCAGAGGAGTTTGCTCTCCTGCTATGGAGGAAGCTAGTTTGACCTCCATTTGTACATTCATTTCAATATTTCTCACTATTCTTTGTATTTTCCCTTGGACTATTGACAGCATTGTACTGGTTTCTTCATAAATGAATTAAATAATAATGATAAAAAGGACTCATTTTGTATCTGTGGGAGAGTTATAGTTTTACCTGGTTTTGAAAATTCCTTTAGCAAGTATTTATTAAGTACCTACAATGTGCCTAATGCTATACCAGTCACTGCTTTAAGTCACGAATATGTTATGTTAGCTCTCAAAATTAAGGTATCTATCCCCAGAATGAAGTACTCAAATTTAATTCTAAAATTTCTCTGGTTTAAACCCATTAACTAGTGCTCAACTCTTTACATCGATATCTCTTGTCCTTAGACAAAGTTCCCATGTCACTAGACCAAAAGAAAAAAAATACCTGAATAAATTATATGTGGTTTTACAAAAAAACTCTAAAAGATAACAGCAGCAAATGGAAAGTTAAGAAATACATTTTAAAACTCTTCAAGTTTCAAGCTAAACTTCTTACAGATTTTAAATAGGCGAAAGAAATTGCTTTCCCATTGATATAGGTGAACAGAACCATTCTCCTTCTGCCAATTAGTAGCCTGAGCCATAGAGAAGAGAAAAAAAACTACATTAAAGCCTAGTGATCAAGAGAAAAAATATTGAATTCTGGGTCTCCTGACTTGCAGTTTACTTGTATTTTAATATTAATTACAAGCTTGCATCAGCATAACCATTTTTCTTTACTGAAATTTAGTTTACCTAAATTTTCACTCAAAATATTCTGAAATTTCCCTCGACAATAATGTCTTTGATATTTGATCATTAGATGATTTTATAGACCATGGAATTATAAAATGTGCTTTTCCCTTATAGACAAATAATATTGGATAGTATAAGTCATAGACTAGAAATCAAGAAATTCCATACTTTCCATGCTAACTTATAATTGTAGATCAGTTTTCTAAAATCATGCAAGTAAAATATGCTTTTAGATAAAATTTCAAATACTAATGGAAGAGGAAAAAATGGTAAATAACAATCTTACCTCAGTTTTCCAAACCCTAAGCTCCTTTCCCTGAAGATGAGATAATCTTTTCTAGTGGATCTTTACGTGGATATTTTATTGTGTGTATAACTCATTTATTTATCACTTAGAGATCATTTTAAATCATATTCAATGGGATTTTTCCAGCATTAAAAAGAATGAGAGGGACTGGAGTGTAGATTAGTGGTAGAGAGCTTACCTAGCATGCATAAGGACCTGAGTTTGATACCCAGAATGCAAGAAATTTAGCCTTTGGTTAGTCATACCTAATTGCAAATATTTTCTCAGCTGGCCCTGTAAATTCACTATGGTATTTGCATCTTAATGTATTTAAATTTTGAAACAATTATTGTTAATTGAAATAGATACTATCAGCTTAAGATTTATAAAGCATGACGAGTCTCTTAGATACTACTCAATGCGAAACTAATTGAACTGCAGATCTAAAAATTACAAGACTTTGAAATGCAAAGGATTACTGACGGCACACAATACACTTCTGTATTGTGTTATTCTGCTTGCCATATACTAATGTAGTTATCTTAAACTTTTCCTACTGCTAATACAGTTGTGCCAAACAGAGTTGTATGTGCAGATTCAAGATTTTTTTTTTTTCCCAAAAGCACTGAGCCCTGGCTGTCTCTGGGGAGCAGCCAAGAGGCCTCCTTGACTGGTAGCTCTCATCATTAGACATTTTTTTTAAAAGAAAATCATCTTTTTACAGATTTTGATAAATACTTAAATGCACATAAATGAGTTGCTCTGGAAACAGTCAAGGCTATATAGTTCTTATTTAAAATAGACTATCCAGGGAACAATTCTCTTTGAAAAACCTTGTCAGTTCAGAATCCATACAGGTGAAGGTCCAGCATCTTTTGGGTCGTGTATTTGGTGCTTCAGAAGCTGCCACACACTGTTTCCTCTACCATCATCCTGCACACCCACTCAAT